ATACAATGCACAAAAAATGCAGCAAATCACGAAGGAATAAGATTTTTTAGGTATATTGTGATCAAAAAGTACTGCATGTGAGTCACTCACATATAGTTTTTATTTTGAAATTTTGTCATTAGTAAAAGTCGATATGTTTACACCAGTCCTCCCGTTTGAGCACGAATCCAAGCTTCTTGCTTCTTTTAGAAACTTCAAGAGTCATTCTATTAGCTCCTGTTGCAGAGGAACTCTGGAGAGAAATGAAAACATTTCGAAATGAGAACTATTTGAGTGACTACATAATTTTATATCACTATTCACCTACCTGAAAAATATTACTTCTTCGTATCTCGCTGCATTTTTTGTGCATTGTACAACATCACAATGTGATGACATGCTTGCATAGGCAAGTAGACTGATTTATCTCAATTTTTCAAATCGGTTCATCATTCAACTACCTTTCAATTCCATATTTTTTCCGATTCTTTCGCTCGATTTGAAGGTCTTGAGATCATCCGCAGGAGTTTTTAAACCGGCTAGAAATTTACCGCAAATAACAATCTGAATCACGATTTTGGAAGAAGGGGCAGGCAAAAGCACAGTTGCAATATGTTGAAGTACTATTGGGAACTTTAGATATATCCATATATAGAATCTCAATTTTATATTGGTAATGTTCTTAATCAACTATAAAAAATCCATTATCTTAAAATGTTCCCTCTTATGTGATATGGCTTCTTGCTAATGTTGAATTTATATTGATAATAATTATATAAATTCCTATTAATTCAAACTAGAGGACATTTGGTACGGTAAACGTGACAACACAGGATTGTGGGCGTGGTCTTGCCAATTCTCAGCATTTAGCACAGCATTGCCAAGTCCCTAGCCATCATTCAAATGATCTTCTGTTGAGGAGAATGAGAAGTATTTCAACAAACTGGTTGCTCGAATAAGTCATGAATGGATTACTATAATTTCATGGCTTCCTCCTATCAGCTCAAATGAAATATTTGATTCAGATGTGTTTTTGTACAACGACAGGTATCTAACAACTTTTCAATAACTGGATTATAGTTGGTGACTTGACAACCTTGCATCATAAGTGGGAAATGAAGATTACCTGACCAATAAGGAATCAGCATAACAACATTCCTCACGATGTATCCGTATTCCAGAACATGAACACCAATTTGGAACAATGCATAGACACATTATCTACATAAAGAACGCGTGCGAAGTATTCCAAAAATTGATTTAGGTCCCTAACGAAACAGTGGAGTAATTGAATTCCAATTATTAACTATCAGTCCAGTAGGCTATTAATTATATAGCCCAAGAAACAAGAATTGCATGCCATAATAATTGTGAAAAAAACCTTCAGGATCCGTCAACTCTCAAATGTGCACGCAACTTATATGATCTGCTTCAAAACCATCTGTGGTTATATCTAATTGTCACCGTTTGTAGAGTATATAGGAACTTTGATATAAAAAATTCTTCAAGGTACTTAAAAAAATGCTAAAAACCACCGGTATGTGGGTGATGGAGAATGAAAACATTCTGAAACGAAATAACAGGCTTGTTCACTTTCAACCTCTCAAACTTGAAATAATGAAAAGAGCCTCGAATGAACATACAGTGTCACCATGTCACGTGATCACTGGTATGGTCTATGGAAATAGATTGAACAAAATGGGTATAAAGCAAAGATTGTTAACTCAACAGGATGGTCTATCTGACCGTAATCAATCAACACGATGAACGAAATGACGTGATTCCAACCATTGACTGTTGTAATTTTGTCAAATATTCCCAACCTCAAATTACGTTTTGAACTTTTGAAAAATATGTTTCAATTTCATTTTATTGAAATAAATGCAGTTTTTCACAGAATACGAGGGTACTTCAGCAATATATTGGTCTGACTGCTACACTTGTAGGGAACCAGAGTGTTGGATACAAGATTCGCATCAAAATTTTCTATTTGAATGATAAATCAATCTGAAATACTCAACAGGATGTGAAACAGAATAATTTCCACTGACATTATTCTCACACATTTTCAAAAAAATAATTGTTGTTCTCAACTATGTTGTTGAAGGTTAAACTATGATTCCAGAATAAGTAAGAAAGATTACTTCAATGTTGCATCTGAAGAAATTCTTACATATCTTCTATTCGCCAGAAAATATTGAGTCAGTTTCAAGGCCAAACGTCAAATAACAAATGTAATCAGATATATCTGTCACTGTCAATTTGTCATCATCAATCATTGATTCATAAATACGTTCACTAATCTGCGAGTGTTTTGTGGACGGCATGAAGTCAAGTATTATACATTGATGTATAGGGCATGAACCACCCTGTTGAGTTAACAAACCTTGGGTATGAAAAGGTAAGAATTGGAGTTAGATGGCAAGATATCGGAAAGAGTTATTCGAAAAAAATTATACTAGCTAATTTTTTCAATCTCGTTACAATTAGTTTAATTTGTTTCTCTTGAATGAGTGGATAGTGGTGATTCACAATAAGAGAACAACCTCGTTTTTCCACACTATTAGATTGTGAAAATAATTGGAATATAACAGATAAAATGGTGCATCAAATTTTAGGAGGTTTATGGCATTCAATTCCAATTGCGAAGTGAAACGTTCAGTCATGATTATCATTGAAACTTGTTGACTATCAGAAAAATACGATATTTTTGAAGTGTTATATCATCACAATGGTGGCTACAGTCTGATATAACTTCCAAATGCAGACCAATGCATAACAATAAGAGGGTTCTGGCAGCAAGAACATTTTTCAATTCAATGCTATCTGGTGTAAGAAACGTGTTTGTTCTCTTATTATAATCGAAACCTGTCAACCTATTCAGGAGAAAAAAAAACTGATAATTGTGACCCAACAAACAATGAACTACCTACCACGAAATTAGTGGCCCAATGCTTTCATTGCTGGAGGAATGACTTCAACGACAAAAATTTGGTTGGCCTTTCACATTCTTGTAGTCACTTTGCCAGTGAGGCAAATAAGTATGAGGTTAAGCTTCAAAATGAAGATCTTATCAGAATCTGATCATCCAAAGTCCAGACATTTTTTAAACGTCGTTCCTTTGCCAGTATGCCAGTGTTCTTAATGGCCCCATACCAACGCTAGTTATTTCGCCACAACATATTATAGTCATGGGAGCAATAAACAGGCTGACTTTTTAAAAACATCCCACCCTAAATATCTCCCTTCCAGTAAATAATATGAAAAATCGAGAAGACACGTCAATTTTATTTTCAAGGAGGACACTTAAAATGAATATTTTCAGTCCTCTTGGATCCCCTAGGATGGGTGGATGTTAGCCTTAGAATCTCATATGGGAAGGGAGGTCAAGTGGTACATCATTTTGAAGAGCGATCAATTCTGTTTCCAACGGTACCCTAGTTTATCATTTCTGTTGAGCAGTTTCCGAAAAATACCGTATCAATTAGAAAACTACCCCCCTTGATGCCTTCCTTCCAGTAAATAAAATGAAAAATCGAAAAGACAGGTCAATTTCAATGTCAACGGGGACACTTCAAATGCATATGCATAGTTTATGATTTTTTGATGAGCATTTTTCGGAAAATGCCGTTCTGAACTTACAGAAGTAATTGGAACATGCCTGCACTGAAATGCATTCAAAATCTTCCTACCATTTGGACTGAAAAGGTCAATACAATAATACCAACCTGAAAACCATGCATATCAGTCGAGATATCAGTGCAGGCGCGTTCTTATTACTTCTGTAAGTTCAGAACGGCATTTTTCGGAAACTGTTCACCAAAAAATAAAAAATTAGGGTATAATTAAAAAGAGACTTTAACGCCCTTCAAAATGATGAGCATTGTGACGTCCCTTTCCATATTAGGTTCTAAGGGTAACCTAGGAGGTTGAACTAAGAGGGCAAAAAAATGGAATTTACTTGTCTTCTCGTTTTTTCATATCATTTATTGAAAGGAAGATATTATCGGGTGGGGAGTTTTCTGAGTGACACATTTTTCGGAAACTGATCAACAGAAAATGATTAACTAGGGTATCGTTGGAAAGAGCATTGAACACCCATCAAAATGATGTGCCTCTTGACCCCCTTCCCCTTTGATATTTTGAGAGTAACATCTCCCCCTCCTAGGGGGCTGAACCAAGAGAGCTAAAAGTAATAATTTCAAGTATCCCCCTTGAAAATGAAATCGACCTGTATTTTCGATTTCTCATATTATTCACTGCAAGAACGTATTGAGAGTGGAAAATTTTCAAAATGTCAGCCTGTATTGGGACTTCCCTCAGTTCACCGCGAGTGAATGTTTGTTGGGAACAAGATCAAGAAATATTCGAAAAAGCTATTTTGTATTTTCTCAAATTACTGAAATTGTGTATGTGAGTATAAAATTCAATTCCGAGCAACTGATTCCACTAACTTTTTTGGAGATCTTACCATCTACCAAAATTTTCGCTCTTTCATAGAAATCTTCTACAATTCACCTCCATATCAGTGATCACCTGTCATGTGTCAATTGAAGTTAAGGTTATGGGTCATGCATAATAGATCTCTGAAAAAAAAATCGATACTCTGGTAATAAACTGTTTCCCCATATGGATGACACTGTATGTCGTTAAACGACTGGTTATTGTGATATAGAGCATCAATGCTTTCAAGATCCTCCTGAATATTTCAAAATCCAATTAGATCGTAGGATATATGAGAATTTTCATATCATTCCGAATAATACACAGATAGTGATTCAGACTTTTGCAACTAGAATGTATGATTTTTTCTATCCAGCAGAAATGCCTCAAATCAACAGGAAATATGTTCATCGATGATTTTGATCGTCAACTAAATCTTGAAAATAACCAATGAGTCAGGCATTTTTTAATCATTTTGAAGTACTTTATCGACTCCTCAAGCTTGAAAGGTTGAATCTAACCACCCTGTATATCACCATCAAGACAGCTAAATATAGCTAAAATTACCCATATATTCATCACGTGTAAATGCGTAATGTCTTAGACGGCCTCGTATTGTAAGCCCTATCTAAATTTTTTTGGAGGGTTCTGGCAAACTCCAAGTCTAATTCTTCCTGTGAAGGTTTCTTTTCAAACTCATTTTCTTCACGTTTGCAGTTTGTAATCGTTATTCGTTTATTATTTCCAACACTCGAATTATTATAAAAACCATAAAATAACCCATTGGAGCTAAAATTGTCTTCAAATTTTTTTATCACCTTTTGCTCATCTTCAACACTAATATTGTCAAAACCATGGAATGAACAATCTGAATTTTCCTCTGAGATAGAGCGTTTCAAGCTGAATTGATTTTTGCTACTGGAGGTAGAGGAGAATTTGGTTGATTCAGAAGACAACCTGGAAAGAAATATAGATAGTATTAGTCCCGAAGTTGCTCCATTTTCCTATAGGTAAAGTGTTATGTAATAGATTAACAATTAATCGCAGAATATCCCACAATCATCGGGCTGCTATTAATCATTCCACTATATGATTTAGCACCCGTTTCAATGGGGAAGATTCCTTCAGATGCATTTTCATAAAAAAAGTTCGGGAACACTCCAGTTTCATGTCCACGCTGTACAGAATGGCGACCGATAAAGTCCAAGTCGGAATGGCGACCGATAAAGTCCAAGTCGTTTTCATTTTCAAATTGAAGCAATTTTTAATTTTCGGGGAGGGAAACTGTGACGTACATTCCGAATCTAGTCTGAAAATAGCTGATGGTAAAGAATATATCTAGCGAATAGCTAACGAAGGAAAACGTTTGAAAAGAATAGAAGAAATAAAACTGGTAAACAAAAACATAGGTACATAACCACCAATGCACTCGAGGCAGGAATGCAGAAGGTACTGGGCTTCATTTTGACAGGTTATGGTTTTGTTATTTATGCATTGAAATATCTCGAGTAGAGCTCGATCCTTAAGTGGAAGTGGTACTTTGAAATCTGCGGAACCTCAGGGGCAACAGTTGAGGCAGAGGTATAAAATTCACTACTGGTGGGTGGAACTTAAACACTACGCCGATGACGCAAAAACCATTACTCCTTTGTAAATCCGTTTCTCGACCGAATTACGAGGGGGAGCCTAAAACTTCAGTACGACGCCGCGACCGCGGCGTGCTGACATGTCGACTTGGCGACTTGGCGTACATTGCGAAGAACGCTCCAATCGTTGGACTGTCGACTAGCCGTGCTAGTCGTTATAAGCTTGAGAAAAGTTGTCATCTGGGTAATGGACAATGGATGCGTTCATTTAAGTCCAGCAAGTTGAATTCATTCCGAATTGCAAATTGCGAGAAAAATCATTCCGATTTTGAAGTTAATGCAATATCTTTTTTCATTTTTTAGAGCTTAGTTGTCAGTATATTTCGAGGTATCTTCCAATGATTTTCACACGACTGTAAAGCTGTTGTTTTTCTATTTTGTCGAAACTAATTTCTCCTCAAATCATATTTTTACACAAATTGTTATTTGCTTATTGATTGATTTGAAGTTGTTAGTGTGAAACATGAAATAATATTGAAAGAAGAAATGAAATAACAATAATTCAATAATATTATTTTGCTCGATTTTTTGGCATTTTCTCTCCTCGTTTCTATAAAATAAAAATATGCGTAGTATTTCAATATATTTGTAGTGGGACAAATCAGATGATTTTCGCCAAAATGTCACTGCGTTTAACAAATTTTTCTATCAGGGAGCCCAAAAGAAAAATCCAGTAGCTTGTCAGTGACAATTTGTTTGAAAAAATGTTTGAATGAAAGAAATATAGATATATTGAAGAAATATTGAATCTTTACTTATCTTTGGACGTTTTGGGACCGAACCTACTGCTCCCGTTCTCAACATGAACATGCAAAATATTTCTCTTTGGGAGTTGTGCTGCTTATAGTTTGACAGTTTTCATAGTCATACTGATGTTGGCAGATGAATGAGTGATTTTAGTATACAAATGAGTTACAGGATGTTCTAATCAATTTATCTTGAATCCAACATTTTCATGTTCAGCCCTCAGTAGTGAATACCATGTTCTATCTATATCAACTGAACAGGAAGCAATGCTATTGTCTCCGTTCAGAAGAATCCAAGCGGATTCCTTGATTTTTCTTTTTTTGGTTGTTATCTTCCATTCCTATATATGATTTTGATATTATTCCACTCTGCCATATGTTGTCCATCTTCAGTGAGGTTATGTTCAGTTAGCTTCGATTTATCTGATTAATCCCGGTCAGGGTGTTAGTGGTCGCACTCCTCCGAAACGGCTCGACCGATTCGTATGAAATTTTTTGTGCGTATTCGGTAAGTATGAGAATCGGTCGTAATCTATTTTTTGACGACGAGTATTGTTATCCGATTTCATTCAAAGTTGGTGTTTGGAGGTTTTCGGGGTCGGAGATTATGATTCTTTCGTCAAATTTTGGGAATTCAAGATGTCGGATCCAATATGGCGAACGAGTTTTGTAATTATGGACAGATTCCATCCCAAATTGGTATCCAGGAGTTTTCGAGGTCAAAGATTATGATTTCTTCATCAAAATTTGGAAATTTGAAATGGCGGATCCAATATGGCGGACGAGTTTTGTAATTATGGTCGGATTCCATTCGAAATTGAAATCTGGGGGGTTTCGAGGTCAGAGATTGTGTTTTTATCAAGATTAGGAAATTCAAAATGTCGGATCCAATATGGCGGACGAGTTTTGTAATTATGATTCAATTATATTCAAAATTGGTATCTGAGGGTTTTCGAGGTCGGAGATTATGGTTCGTTGGTCAAAATTTGGAAGTTTTCAAAATGGCGGATCCAATATGGCGGACGAGTTTTGTAAGTATGGTCAGATTCTATTCAAAACTGGTATCTGGAGGGTTTGGAGGTCGGAGGTATGAATTATTTGTCAAAATGGAGAAATTCGAAATGGCGGATCCAATATGGCGAACGAGTTTTTGAATTATGATCAGACTCTATTCAAAATTGGTATCTAGAGGGTTTGGAGGTCAAAGATATGAATCATTTGTCAAAATGGAGAAATTCAAAATGGCGGACGAGTTTTTCAATTATGATCAGATTCTATGCAAAATTGGTATCTGTGGGTTTCCGGAGTTGGAGATAATGATTCATTCATCAAAATTTGGAAATCCAAGATGACAGATTGCGGACGAGATTTGCAACTATGATCCGATTCTATTCCAAATTTGTATCTGGGGGATTTTGGGATCGGAGATTATGATTCTTCATCAAAATTAGGAAATTAAAGATGGAGGATCCAATATGGTAATTGAGTTTTGTAATTATGATCCGATTCTATTCAAAATTAGTATCTGGGGTGTTTTTGGAGTCAAAGAAGAATCAGAAAACAAAATAATAAAAGTATGTTGATAAACATTTCACTAAAAAAATATTTTCTGGAAATAATTGTATATAGCAAAACAACGTTTGCCGGGTATCAGCTATTGTAAACCTTTTTTTAGATAGCCAAACTGAAAAGAAGTGAGTAGACAATAAAGAGTAGTTTGAGTAGTTTGAAAAAATGAAGAGGTATAATAGAGTACCGAACTAAAATGAAGTACAGAATAAATAGAGTAGTTTAAAAACTGAAGAATCCCGCTTTTATTGATTGTCAAACTAAAAAGAAATAGTAGAAATTGAATAATGAAAGTTTTCTGATAAATATTTATCTAAAATTTTTTCTAGAAATAATGTTTATATATAGCAAAACAACGTGTGCCGGGTCAGCTAGTATTATGTACCAATATCACAGTTGAGAGAATATTACTATTCAATTTGGAGCAAAAACTCGTACCAGAAATTCTCGATCAGCAAGGATTTTTGAAAAACAACAAGAATAAACTACCCCTCTGAAGGGGTTGATCGACATTATTCCACTGGTGGTATCTATATATCTATGTTATATTCAAATATACAATTTGAAAAAAAAATCGAATCAGAAATGCTCGGTTAGCATACTCTAATATTGATCACCAAATTATACGCCCCCTGCGTCATTGTTGAAAATTTTTCAAAATCGCAATAGTCCCACTGTGCACAAATCATGAATGATTGCTCCAGAAATACATGGAAATACAGAATTATCCCACCCCGCTAAAAGGTTTTCACGCTTCTTTTCCATTGGTAGCTTTGAAGCACCGCTTTGAAGTTACGAAAATATACCTATTTTTTATAAAAGGTCGTAAATCATGCGGCGAGGGTCAAAAGACGCGTGTCAAACCGCAGCGCTAATGAGTCGTCGTGAGAAAAACTTTGATACCGATAAAAAAGCGCATCCTTTTTTGCGATAAATATTTTAAGTAGATTTTCTATCGTTTCCACAATTGTTTCTGATTCGACCGTCATAATTCCCGAGGTAATCCTAATTCAAATTATACCCGTAAATAAACGTTTATAACTTTATATTTTTCAAAATATTTCATGTTTCGGGAACTCAAGAAATATTATCGTTAATTGTGAGAACCTCACCGTAACAGAACTGTGGTAACATTGCCGTATATTCTTGAATTTCTAGGTATTTAGAAATTTAGAGCAGTCTGAAATGGTATGAAATAATGATAATTTGATATCCCACTGAAATTATGAAATTTTTATTTTTAAACATGCCAGACCCTCGTAAACATTGCAAATAAGGAATGTATATTTCATCTCCATTCATAAATGTTAATTCCCATCAATTCTGAGAGCGGCGCCACTCTCTGGATACAAATTGTTGCCATGCAAGGGTTTCGTAGTCCCTAACTTTTTAGGTTAATTTTTCATTTTGAGTGGATGAAAAAATTAGTACATATTCGTGAAGAACTAATCTATGTTCCTGTCGTCTCGCTTTTTCGAAATTTGATTCAGTTTTTTCTAAAAAAAATCGCGAAATAACGTGTTTTTTGATGATTTTCCAATTTTTTTTTTGGAAGAATCGAATCGAATTTCGAAAAAGTAGGACGACAGGAACATAGATAAGATCTTCACGAATACGTACAATTTTTTTCATCCACTAAAATTGAAAAATGACCCTAAAAAGTTAGGGACTACGAAACACTTGCATTATTGCTTTATACCATAGTACAACTTTCTCTTAAGGAAAAATCGGGAAAAATCATTGTATCAATGAATCACTATTCGGCTACTTTCAATGATACAATCCCTCCTAATTTACTGGGATCGGTCAGAACAGAATGAAGCCGACACCCATGGCTCCTTCCTATTGTTGTGCCTGTCAGTATTTTGAGTGTTGTGGACGGACGGGCGCTGTTGCAAGATATAATCTGCAACTTTCTTAGAAAATAGATCCGTTTCAATAGGGAACGAATTCATTAGCAAAAATATGAATGACAAGTTATGAATAACATATTGTAATATAACGATAGTGAAAAATTATAGATACTTTCGCAAAATATCATAATTTATCTTTATTAGTAATCGACTTCATTCAGCCAATGAGAGATTCATGAGAATTATTCATAATACTTGACAAAGTAGGATTAAAGAACCTATAATATTCCATTGCTGTTATGATACACAATTTCCGGAAATCTAGACATATTGATGATGTCGGCAACGTCGTACTGGCACAGGGAATCGTATTTTAACTCTGTGTGAATGTGGATTTTCAGAAAGTTCCTCTTTTATTCATTTTTTTCTGAAGTGAAATTTGATCTCACGAAAAAAAAAAAACGTATATATTAAATTTTAACAAACTCACTTCAAAGTGAGATGAAACCCTCAATATTGAAAACTTCCTCATTCCCATTGGCTCATTTAGAATACACCCCACTATCACAACCAATTAGTGAACGGTGCCGAATCGCGTAGCATAATGTTCGAATGGTGCCCAAGTCGGTAGTGGAATGGTATACAGTGCTTTGATTTCAATCAATCAATCAATCAAGACTTTATAATAATTCAAGAATAAAACACACACAGATATTGAAGTATGACAATCGACAAATGACAATCGACAAATGACAATCGACAAATGACAATCGACCAATAACCATCGACAAATGACGAATAACAACAATGATGCTGAGGACGAAACACAACATCAGAATAACACCAGTCAAGTCAAAACCAAGGAATGTTTTGATTTGAAGTGACATAGAACACAGAACAGAATTGTAGTAAAAATAATGAGTTCATTGAGGCAGTTGAGGTTAGAGTTTTTGACAGCTTTATTGATTTTCAGGGTTTCAAGGAGGTAAAGTTTTTTTTCGTTTGTCACAGATATATAAAATTTATATGTTAGAATTGGGATCAAAATGGTGTTTGTCATTGATAATATGGTTAGCAAAAACTGAATTGGACTAAAACAAAAGAGAAAAAAAAACACAATCGTATCATAGAAAATAATTTTGAAACAGATTTTTTTGTGTCCAATTCAGTTTTTCCTGACCATATTATCAATGACAAACACTCACGGTGTTCTAATGAAGTCAAAAAGTTAGTGCGTGTGGCATCACCCGCCATATTGAATGGAATCTAAGAGCCTCAGCATATGTTGGGGTGCTAAACCCCATATATGAGAACAATATTCTAAATCTGGCTGTATCTGTGAAATTGGGATTTTTTCAACTTTAGGAGTTTTTGAGCATTATTGGCCAAAACGGTTTCTAGGTCATATCTCAACTTTCAATTCACTAGACCTAAGTACTGACATTCAATTGAAACAAATAAAGGGAGGTGGAAAAATTCAGAATTCTGATGATGACCCTATATATTATGTCAATTGATAGTAAATCAAAAGTTGAGATAGGGACATGCAAACCGATTTGGCCAATAATGAATAGTTTTGACATGAAAAAATTCTATGAAGTTAAAAAAATCCTTGAAAAAATCTCAATTTTTCACACCCTATATCTCTGTAATCATTTCAGCTAGACTCCAAGTATGATAGATCAATGAAATCAGTTCTTCAGGGAGGAACTGAAAATGCAGGGTGTCTTTTTTTAAATTTCATAAATATTGCCCATAAATATTTTTTGCAATGTTCAACTGTTTTCCTGATGGCATAAGTATATAAAATAAACAGAAAAAAATATGGAAGAGCTTACCTCAAAAATAAAATTGATCAATACATAAAAAAGTTGAGTGGGGGTTCAAAATATATGTGAACACCTCGGTGAACACCCTGTACCTGAAGTCCCAAGAAGTACCAATGAAATCAGTGAAGTCTTGATGAAGTCAGTGAAGTATTGATGAAGTCAGTGAAGTATTGATGAAGTCAGTGAAATCATGATGAAGTCAGTGAAATCACGATGAAGTCACTGAAGTCCGGATGAAGTCAGTGAAGTCCTGATGAAGTCCATGAAGTCTCTATGAAGTCTTAGAAAAATGTGAATGAATCAACTGATTTTAGATTTCTTCACTTAGGATTGTTGAGGGATAGTCAGGGCCTGATTAACCATTAGGCTGATTAGGCTGCAGCCTAGGGCGCGAAGATCGGGGGGGCGCGCAAGACGCGCTAAAATCGTGTCTTCGCATTCACTAATCTAGCATCATTGCATCTACCCTACATATTAACTAGACCGAGACAAAACAATAAAACTATATGCGCTTGATAGTCCCTGATTTCAACAATGAATTTTGAAATTTTAAAAAGCGCGCGTAAGAAGAAGAAAGAAACCAAAATTTCATTTTGATGAAGTTAAAACGGGGCACATTGAGTTAGAAAGGAGACGATCTTTCATCGTTGATAATTATTATGCAGCTATTGATTGTCTTAAAGGGCATTTAAAAAACCGGCAAATTATTCATAATAGTTTGGTTTCTTATGGAAACTGCATGAACTAGACGACAGTGAATTTATTAGAAGCAGAGCAAAGGAGTTGAAAGAACTATAATTATGCTACTGATTTAGAAGAAACCTTTGCAGAAGAATGCGTCCATTTGGCGCAGTTTTCAAAATCTGACACCGAGGTCGAGCGTTCTCTTTCTGCCAGAACCCCAAAGGGTTTGTTGCAGTTTATAAAAAGGTTTAATATTTTAAGCATGTTCCCGAATGTGGAGATAATATTAAGAATTTCTTTGACAATGAGTGTTACCAACTGCAGCGGCGAAAGGTCTTTTTCAGCACTGAAGAGAGTAAAAAATTACTTACGCTCCACACTCCGCCAGCAAAAGCTTGCAGCGCTCTCGCTAATGTACATACATAGAAAGTGATATTCTTCAAACTATCGAATTTGAAAAAATTGTGGAAAGATTTGCAAACGCTAAAGCAAGAAGAAAGACCTTATTATAAGCAAATGATAATTACTCAATTATTATAATTTTCAAATAAAACATTAATCAGTTGCAAAAATGTTCCACTTGTATGATGCCTCTCGTCTTTAAGATTACAGAAATGTAAATATATAAATAATACTTCAAGTCGAAAACTTTTATAGGTAGTATGAACCATGTCAAAATTTTTATACTAGTAAACAAAGTCAAGACTAATATACTACTTTTTAGGCCGACCGTAATACTCATGGCGGGGGCGCGTCCTCATAATTAGCCTAGGGCGGTCAGAACTCTTAATCAGGGCCTGGGGATAGTTTTTGATTCACAAATAATTTCATTGTATGGATGAGGGTGTTTAGCAGTCTAAAATCATTGATTTACATAATGAAACCAATTAAGAGTTTCCCCAACTTTTTCCATGTTATGTGGGGTACATATACATATTGATGGGGTAGTTATGGGCTGGTTTCTTGGGTGGTTTAGGAATCGAAACTTCCGTGAGAATTCCTCAAGGTCACCTTGTTTCACCTCATTAGGTAATTCCATATGAAAATAAGCATGAATAAAACAGAAATTTTGGAAAAAAATCAGGAGCAACTAGATTCAATGGATAACATAGGATAAAATGATCAATACCTCCATCATTTCTCAGCTTTTATAGCTATTGATAGGTAATAGAGTCAAACTGTGATAAATTTACAGAAATTAACTTACATCTTAGATGCTGGATTCCTATGTGTTTTTTTAGGGAACATTTTGATTTTGATTCTTGAATTTCCCTGAGATGATAGATTCATTCTGTGATCAATTGGCTTATTTGAATATCTGTTTTTCTTCAGTTTACCACCCTTTATTTCTACAATTTTCTCTATGTGCCTAATTTTGGGTCTTATAGTTGCTGAAGACTCCCCCATATTCTCTCCATTCACATTTCTGTTCAAAATCAATTCCCTACTGCTATATGATTTGGTGGCAAAATTGAACTTTGATTCTGAATATTCAGCTTCAAGTGGAGCTTCTCTCTGTTGGAATTTGTCAGTTGATTTTCTAAGAGGAATTTTTGGTGGTGGCCATGAAAATAATGTTTTTGATGCTAGACTCTTATCATAAAGTTCTTTTAACCTCAGTTTTTCAGCCTCCAAACCCTTTTGATAATCTTCTCTTTCCTTCTTTTTCCTCAACTGTTCCCTAGTTTTGATTTCTAATGCACTTATACTAAGGGGTGAATAAAAATCAGTTCGTTTATACCTATTTTTTTGGTCTAAAGGAAATATCCTACAGATAAATTGTTTATTGGAAAAACTGTCATTTGGCTCAATTTTTGGTTCAACCATTGGAGATGTTATTTCATGTGTCTCAACAGTAATTTTATCTTTCATACTAGGTGGAGGAGTTGATGAAATTTCTGCAGTCTGTTTCTCACCTACCTGTTCATTGAACAGCAACTTTTCCCTTTTGAAAGCTACCTGATCATTGATCTCTCTCTTGACTGATACACTATCTGCAGTATCTTCAACAATTTCTACATGGTCTGACTTTTTTTGTATACCATTTTCTTCCACCATTTTGGGCTCTTTGAAGTCTTCTTCAATACCAGTGAGTGACTTCTTTTGTATACCATTTTCTTTCACCATTTTGGACTCTTTGAAGTCTTCTTCAATACCAGTGAGTTTGTTCAAAATTTGTTGGGAATACCTTTCGTTTATTGCCTTTTGAAATTTCACATTTATGTGTTTACCATTTATCTGAGCCTTTCTCCACCAGGAACCTACACGAACCTGACAAAGGGGGCACACTCTGTTGGCGGTTTTCATGGTGTCATCAAAACAGCACAGGCAAAAATGATGGTTGCAAGGGAGAGACACTGGTTCTATCATTATGCTCCTACATATTGGACACAGGACGTCGCTGAAAATTAGCGTGTTGTAATCTCTTACTTTGGGTGGGTCGGAGCTGATTGTTTTTGTAATTTTCTGTTGTTTTGTAGTCATTTTTGAATTCTTAAAATCCTGAAATACAGAGAAAAAAAGTTGGGTTGAGTTGATTTGATGTTGATATGTGCACTTGTGCCAAAGAATAGGTCGCGTGCACGAAGACCGACCCTGGAGGCAAAATATTGAAACACAACCTCATTCTTCTGTGAAATATTGAAACACAACCTCACTTTTTTATTAGGTTACAGAGGAATCAAAAGGTTGAAATAGTTTTTCACAATATTTTGGCATAGGAATCGTGTTTCTTGCGTTATTCATTAATTCAAGCATGCCTTCGCATTGTGCTGTTGTACAATGCACAAAAAATCCAGCAAGAAGAGACTAGGGAATATGATTTTTCAGGTAAATAGTAATCTCACATAGTTAGCATTATGAAATGTTGTCATTCCTTATTAAAATTCCTTCTGCCTTCTGCCACTTCTGCAATACAAGCTAATGCTGCTAATAGATTGAAAATGTCTACAACACACACGATCGTCAGCATGTCAGACCAGTCCTACCGATTGATTGCATGAATCCAATCTTCTTGCATTATTCTAGAAATTTCAGGTATATTTCTATTAGCTGATCCTATTGCAGAAGGGATTCCGATGAGAAATCAGAGAAATAACCAAATTTCAAAAATGAAAACTATGTGAGTGACTATAGTAGGTACTTACTTTTGAATCACAATGTACCATCCGGATTTATTCATCTTCCGCTGCAGTTTCTGTGCATTTTACAACAGCACAATGTGATGGCATTAGCGAATTGATGAATAGCGGAAAAATACGATTCATATGCCAAAATAATTGTGGAAAACTATTTCGATCACTTGTAAACAAATATGTTTTGCCTCCAGGGTCGGTCATCTGACAGTTCTTGCACGCGACCTATATAGTTATAGGTTAGTCACCTTTGCAGTATTGTTCCTAGATCTGATTTTTTCGTAATAGATTTCCATGGAAAAAGGTAACAGATTTCTATCAAAAGGTAATAGACTCAGAAAATCTGACATTTGACATTCTGAATGTCATTCTTGTCAAACCATATCTTACAAATTAGACAGTTTCGACAGGAATGAGGCAAAAGTCACACAGAACTCATGACATAAATATAGAACATAGCCCCATAGAGCAGAACATCATTATTCCCAGAACACAGAGTTAGATTTTTTAGTAACGTGAAATAGTAATAGATCTATCACAAAAGTAATGAAAATAACAGCACTGTCAAGCTTATGATCTAAGCAGCGTTGCCAGCGCCAGCCCAGCCACTCAAAATGTTCTGAACAATCTCCGAAAAAAGTACTAATTTGGATCTTCATCCAGACTTCATACTGTTGAGTCAGTGAGTCAGATCAGTAGGGGGAAGGAGGAGGACAATAGACAAGGAGAAATAAGAATGAAAGCTTGATTACTGAATATTGAAAATATCTCATTCCTCATCAGTCATAACACTTCCAAAACAGTCGATCGTCATTTTGTCATTCATTTTTATCCATGATCATAACTTTATTGAGCAACGTGAAAATATATGACAAATAATGACTATATACAATATTGACACGTAAGTATGAACTGCATGGTTCAGACTGCATAAACTCAAAACTTTTAATGGATGTGAGACAATAATAACATTACATTGATGATATTGCGCATTGAACTTTTTTCTGGTTAATTTGTGTAATGTCGATATTTCGATATTTCAAGTCGAAACATGGAAAACGTACGAATTTAGCAATCAGAGTACTAGCGTACTAGACAGAGTGAGAAGGTGCTAGATCTAGTACGAAGTTACTAAGTCTGGCAACACTGGATCTGAGGAGTAAGGTGTCAAGAGCGATGTGAAGCTCACAGTCAAAGTCGGCGCACGAAATTTCCGAAGATAGCCGAACATCCAGTGGAGTACCAGAATTAATTTTTTCTGTAGAAATAATAATTGGCTGGCTCAGCCGCCTTCATTTTGGTACAAATAAAAGTATGAGTGTCATAGTGTCAATAGATCATTGATGATCATTAATCTCTAATTAGAGATCCATACAACATCTTATCCGATCTATTTTTCAGAAGTTCTTGCAATCCCGTCAGAAATAAACAGGGTTCTTGCTTATAAAAATGTATTCTTTAATGAAACAAATAAATTATCACAAGACTATCAATATAAAATGAGTGCGTGAATAAAAGATTACAAGAGATCCATATATAACAGTTTCCACCACAGATTAACAAACCTTATTTGTTATTTTGTTAATCTGTGGTTCCCACAGCTCGCGAATGTTCTTGCAAACCCGTCAGAAATATACATAGTAGGGTGCTTTAAAAAAGACTTTTACATGGTGAAATAGGTATATCTTACGAAAACGCACGAGACTATATATAATAATATATGAATAATATAGGACAGTTGTCAATGATAGGTACTATCCAGTGACTCTAGTTGTCAATAGATTCCCTAATAACACAATAACATCTGTAAGACGTCGTAGAAACATCCATATGGGATGATAAATCCCTATATTTTCCTTGAGACATTCTTGGGATGTTGCTGGCAAAACACCCTTGTCAGCATTTGCGATGTCTTATATACAGGGTGATTCACGAGCCACTGTACATACTTATATATTGTGTACATAGGACATACCTCTGCCATTAAATAATGAATATTTATATTGGTCAATTCGACGTAATTACTAAGATACAGGGTCATTTTTCATTTTTGGCCAAAATTGATTCACTCTGTATCTTTTCAGTCGTTTGATCAAATTTCCTCAAATTTTATACACTTAGTCTACTAATCAATGTCAACTTTCTGGAGTACAAAGAGTCGCCAAATTCCAGGCCCGGACTTGGAAAATTTCAATTTGTCGTCTCTTACAGATAGGACACCCTGTACATTGGAATTTTCAATATCTGCTCATTATTCCTGAAACTACATGGATTAATGAACAGAAAAATGTTAATAACACGTTTGGCACATTTGAAGTATGTTTTAAATAAAATATTGCTTTTCGAGAAACATTCCATTTATTTATTTTATCTCTTGAAAATTTATAAAAAAATTAAATTATATTTTCAAAATGCATTCCACCAGCATCCCTGCACTTTTGTGCTCGAGTTAACAAATTTCCGATTGAATTTCGAATCATTTGAGGATTTTGTTTGATTTCTTCACAATAATGTTCAATTCGGTTCAATAACTGCTCTCTGTTTCCAATAGGATCGCTGTAGACCTTCTGTTTCAAATGTCCCCACAAAAAATAATCTAGAGGGTTAAAATCTGGGGACCTAGCTGGCCAAGGGAGTGGCCCTCCTCGTCCAATCCAACGATTTGGAAATCGGTAATCAAGGTGTTCTCTGACGTCAACGCCAAAATGAGGCGGAGCGCCATCATGCTGGAAATGTATTCCTCTCAAATTAATGTTCTCCATCAAACCAGGCAAAATATTCTGCAGAAAATCCAAATAAACGAGGCTCGTTAACCTTTGAGGAAATACATGAGGTCCAATCAACGAATCATTTATCAAACCACACCAAACATTGATTGAAAATTTATGTTGGGAATGGGCTTGTCTTACTGTGTGCGGATTTTCATTCGCCCACACATGAGAATTTCTTGTATTAAAAATACCGTCTTGTGTAAACTGGGCTTCATCGGTAAATAACGTACGAAAAACAGTCCTTCTGTGGCTTGTGATCCACCGGGAAAATGCAAGCCTGGGTATTTGGTCACCTTCTTCCAACCGTTGTACCTGCTGGATGTGAAAAGGGTATAAATTCTCGTTATTAAGTACTCGCCATACACGAGTTTGCGGCAGAACTAACTGTGCACTTATTCGCCTTGTACTTGTTTTTGCATTTTCACGTACAATGTCAAGAATATTTTCTTCTTGAGGCCCGTTATGTTGAACATTTCTCTCAACACGAATATCGATCGAAGGAAATTTACCAGTCTCTCGTAAAATGTTATAAGTTGAGGAAAATGTTTGATGGTTTGGGATTCTCCTGCCAGGAAAACGTCTTCCGTACTCTTGTGCTGCCGCTCTTCCATTACCATCGCAAAATCCGTACACATAAATAATGTCTGCATATTCAGCATTAGTAAAAAGTGGCATTTTGTTAATTTGTTGAACCAAACTAGTATTAATAATAAAACAGCGATTCGGCTTAACATCAACTGATTGACAGATACTTTGTGACAATTCTTAAAACAATGGACCATATCTGTCAGATAATAGAGGGAATATTAACATGGCCTACTGATAGAAAATCAGATAATTATGTTAAATGTTATTTTATGTAGTCCAGAAATGGTTTTAAATGTAACTTAAAATTCAGTTGAGCGAGCACAAAAGTACAGGGATGCTGGTGGAATGCATTTAGAAAATATAATTTAATTTTTTTATAAATTTTCAAGAGATAAAATGAATAAATGAAATGTTTCTCGAAAAGCAATATTTTATTTAAAACATACTTCAAATGTGCCAAACGTGTTATTAACATTTTTCTGTTCATTAATCCATGTAGTTTCAGGAATAATGAGCAGATATTGAAAATTCCAATGTACAGGGCGTCCTATCTGTAAGAGAAGACAAATTCGAAATTTCCGAGTCCGGGCCTGGAATTTGGCGACCCTTTCTACTCCAGAAAGTTGACATTAATTAGTAGACTGAGTGTATAAAATTTGAGGAAATTTGATCTAAGGACTGAAAAGATACAGAGTGAATCAATTTTGGCCAAAAATGAAAAATGACCTTGTATCTTAGTAATTACGTCTAATTGACCAATATAAATATTCATCCTTCAATGGCAGAGGTATGTCCTATGTACACCATAAGTATGTACAGTGGCTCGTGAATCACCCTGTATAAACATCCCATCAGAATGTTTGTGGGATGATACGGAATGTTCCTGAGACATTCAGGGTACTTGATATGAAACATCTTAAAGAAACTTCTAGGATGTTTTTTGTTTGATGACAGTAATGGATGACACGGTATGAATCATTTTCAATCTGAA